ATTTGGGACTTGCCAGCCTCCACAACTGTGTGAGCCATTTTCTTGGTGGTTTCTGAGTTCTTTGAGATGTTACAGTAAAATACAGAACCCTACAACTGGAAGGAGAGTACTGATGGGAAGAGGAGTTGGTATCAAAGGGATGGAGTGGTGGTGCAGCACGGAAAAATGGACATGTGGGACATCTTTAACTTCTGCCTGACAGGGATCAGAATTGTGCTGATCCCTCTAAAATAAATATTTCTGAAAAAGCCATAGTATTTTCAATCACCTCACATTCATGCAAAAGCTGGACAAGGAATAAGGAAGACTGGAGAAGAACTGACACCATTGAGTTATGGTGTTGGTGAAGAATACGGAATATTCCACAGACTTCCAGAAGAACGAACAAATCTGTCTTGGAAGAAGTACTAGAATGCACCTCAGAAGCAAGGATGGTGAGATTTCATCTCAGTTACTTTGGATGTGTTATTAGTAGAAGGTTAGTGGAAAAGAGGAAGCCCCCCAATGAGATGGATTGACATAGTGGCTGCAACAATGGGCTGAAACATGGCAATGATTGTGAAGCCGGTGTAGGACCAGGCAGCGTTTTGTTCTGTTGTACACAGGGTTGCTATGAGGTGGAACCTACTTGATGGCACCTAGCAACAGGAAAGGAACAGTTCAAACACTGGAACAGAAGAGTGCATATGAGTAAGATGTAACACAGTTAACAGATCTATTAATTGAAATTTTTAGAAGTTCTCATTTTGTCCATAAAACAAGAAGCAAGGTGGATGGCTGAGTGTGAATATGGTGAGAGAGAAACAGCACAAAACTTAGGATCTCAGAAAATGGAAAGAACTTGGAAAATATAGGAAGATGCAGTAATGCTGCAAAAAAAAGAAGCCAAACTCACTGCCATCGAGTCAATTCCGACTCATAGCGACCTCCATTGGGTTTCCAAGGTGGTATATCTTTACTGAAGTAGATTGCCTAGTAATGCTGAGGGTCACTCAGATTTCATTATTACAAGTTTAAAATGAGAAGAGTCAGATGTTCTTTTTTCTTAGGGCTCGTTTGTTTTGGGTACAGTTGCAAAATATGCAGCAAATGTGACTAAGTAGGTTTGAGATTTTGCCAGGAGAGTACAATGAAGGGAGGACAGGGGAGTGGAGGATGGACATGTGGGATTAAATGAAATGGCAAGCCATGGAACAATCGAAGGGTTACAGGAAAGAAAAGCTGGACCAGCAAAGTCTGGGGGGTGGGGTACAGCGGCGGAAAGGTGAGTCACTGAACTGGTGAACCCTGTGGAGGCGAGTAATTTCTGGAGTAAGGGGTACGACTGGTAGTAAACTGGAGAAATCGAGAATAGTTGCAGGTGTGATTGCTCTGGTGGCGCAGTGCCTAAGGCATTTGACTGCTAACCAGAAGGTTGGTGGTTCAAATTCAGCAGCCACTCCATGGAAGGAAGATGGGGCAATCTACTTCCATAGATGTACTGCCTTGGAAACCCAATGGGGGTTGCTATGAGTCAGAATTAACTTGATGTCAGTTTTTTGGTTTGGTGGTTATTAGTAATGACATGGCTGTCACATCTGAAGGGAGGGGGCCTGCCATGTAAATATCCTGTGTGTAAAAGTTTGGAGAACAAAGAACTTTCCCACTCAGAATGCCAACAGTGTCCCTACTGAGAGCCTCTGGGTGTAGGTGACTGAGGCATTGGGAAGGACAGGATCCTGGAAACAAGGAAGTCACGGAGCAGAGTCTGGGTTACTGCGCAACTCATGAATACTGACATCACCAAGAATAGTGGCAAGAAGAGTGGGGAAAGGCAAGACAGGGAGGGGAAGCTAGTGGGGGTGGGAGATACTCCTGCGAGGGAAGGCAGCAGGTGGTAGACTCTAATGGCATGTGCTGCGAGTGAGCTGGGGAACTCTTAGTAGGAGAGGACAAGGCCTCAGATGCGGCCATGAGGAGCTTGCACACACCTACCCCTTTCTAAGCCAGTGGGTACATGGTCTACGGGATGGGGAAGTTTCCCCTTTGAGTGGGCTGCAGGGAGCTAGGCCTTCAGGGGCCCACCACACGGTAATCAGAACAGGTGAAGGAGAGGCTTGAGAAAGGGACACAGCACATTTGCTAGTGATGCTGATGTTTTACCTGCCATCGAGCCAGCTGCAACTCATGGCAACCCCACGTGCAACAGAGCAAACGTTCCTGCTCCTTCACCATCCGCACAGTCGTTGGTTCGCTTGCAGCTAGTCACCCACACTAAATCAGACAAGACTTTGTTGCGACCTGTAGGGTTCTCAAAAG